ATGATATGGAGAAGAGAAAAATTACGTGTCCGTCCTGAGAATCGAACACCGATTCCTCAGCCGTCGAGCCCGTAACCAGTCGCTATATAAACTTAACTAGCCCGGAGGGCCGCGCCATAGTTCAAGCGGTTAGTCGCTAGCTTCCCACCGCGGCGGCCCGGGTTCGATCCCGGGGTCTGGTCAAGTGGGATTTGTTGTGGACAAAGTGGCGCTGGGGCGGGTTTTCTCCGAGTACTTCGGTTTCCCTTGCCAATCTTCATTCCACCAAATTCTCCATCATCATAATCACCCGGGGTAGGTACAATAGGCCAATCAGTGGCCGCTGTGCCGAGTGGACCCAGTTGGACTCCACCTTCCACTAACGAGCCCGGTTCTTGGGGGGGGGGAAATTGAAGATTACGAGCGAACCAAATTCCTGTAATGTACAGTAGTACAGTTCCGTAGTAAAACTGCGTGAGCGCCTTGATACATGGAATTACTGAACTATGCAGAAAACTGACCGGCACTCCTATTTCACAGGCGTGGATGCCCGCGAAGCTGACAGTTCATCACCATGTAGTGTCGAAATTTGGTGGTTATTTCAGCACAGGAACAACTTTTACTAAAAGACTTAAGAGTTAGTTAGTACTGGTCAGTAGCCCCTCCGAAACATTTGTAATCAGCTACCAGACTACGTGGTATGATTTTCAGTGACTGCATCCTGTTGTGTATCATATAATATTTCTTACTAAAAACCGTCATAACACAACAATCAATAATACGTGTAAGTAGCTCTAGGAGATACTTTTGCTACATGTTTCGGCTTTCAGAAGGCCATAATCAGGCAAATAAATTAAACTTTTCGTTATTGAATTGCGTGTGAAACACAGGATACAGTGCTAAACCTCCAAGTTTATACAATGGTATAAAATGATATGAGTTAATATAAAATATAAATTACAATAAAAGTTGAAGTCTTAAATAACTAGTTACATAGTCAAAAGTTATATATGTGATGGTATTTGGAAGTTGGCAGTTGTAATCGTAATATATGTAATGCTTATACAGACATACAGTATTATATACATAATGGCTGATGTGGGGTTCGGAGGCCCGTTTTTATGTTGTATGTTATTATTTAACATTTGAAACTATTTGACGGGCGACTCCGTTGTGTAAATGTCCGATTTGATAGAGACAGATTGATGAGAGGTTATAAAATTGTGCACAAAATACTTTCTTTTGTAATATGAAATTTTATGTGCCTACTACAATAATTATTCAGTGTTCATTGTCAAAGTAAAAAAGCAAAATACAATTCCTACAGTATCTTCATATCTCTTAGAATCAGGATGGAAAAGGCGTGAGCATTGAAGGTAAGTGTGTGTATCAACTTTGAATATATATGTATACATTATCCAGTACTGAAGAATAAATAAATCAATAGTGAGTGCCTGTTTCCTGGGGGTTTCCTCTATTCTGGGATGAAGTGCAACTGTGCTTCATACCACACCAGGAAGTGGTGTCATGTCACCCTGAAAGTACTGCTCCCGTCACAATTTCAGCAAGTTAGCAGCTTTACAAAACTATTTCTTAATATTTGGGGTAGCATTATCAGGAGAAATTCTGGGGGCGTCCGCGCCTAAGGGGTGTCCTCAGGAGGGCGTGCTCTCACCTCTGCTGTGGGGCCTGGTCGTCGACGATCTCCTGTGGGGACTTAATGATGATGGGTATTATACAGTGGGATATGCTGATGATATAGCAATCTTCATAAACGGACGACAGTATCAGAGCATCTTCAAACAGCTCTGTACACGGTCCAACGATGGTGTGAAAGAACAAGTCTTTCCTTCAATCCTAATAAGACGGTAATTATATCGTTTATCAGGAAGAGAAATATTAAGGGTCTTAAGGAACCGACCCTCTTCAATAAAGCGATCCAGCTCTCCAGCGATGTCAAGTACCTTGGTCTAGTATTAGACAAGGGACTGATATGGGAAAAGCAGCTGGACAAGGTCATCAATAAAGCATATAAGGCATTTTGGACAAGCAGAAGCATGTTTGGTAAAATTTGGGGACTGCAGCCACACGTTGTGCATCGGATATACACTGCGGTTGTAAGACCCATAATTACATACGGCGCCACAGTATGGTCGCCCGGAGTTAAACTTAAGACAAGCAAGGCAGAACTTAGTAAATTGCAAGGGTTGGCTTGCTTAGGTATCACAGGAGCAATTCGAACATCTCCAACAGTTGCACTGGAGATACTCCTTGCAGATACTCCCTATCACAAAGGGAACTGTCCTATTTGATGCCACATAACCTATTACAAATCGACATATGAGAAGAAATTTTAAATGAAAGAAGAGAACATTCTCTTGTAAATCTGCCTTTTACATAACGCAATAAAGACTTTTGCAGCAATTTTTGCATTTTATTTGTATAACCAGCAATTTTTGCATTTTATTTGTATAACCCATCCTGCCACTTCAGAATGAAGTTTGAAAATGGGGCTTGAATGAAGATTTCGGGACTTACTATAGGCGCCATTTTACAGTCCGTATGCATACATACACGTAATAAAGGCATTTACAGAAATTTTAGCATTTTATTTGTATAACCCATCCTACCCCTTCAGAATCAAGTTTAAAAATAGAGTTTGCATGCGGATTTCATGACCCTACTATGATCATTTTACGGTCCGTACGAAAATAATACTGAAGGATATTTTCATCGAAGTACATATAATATCGCCATTATGTCACTAGTGGTCATTATCTTGTTCCCTCCAACACGTTTGTTGGTTGGCTGCTGTAACGGCCAATGGCGTAATGGGGACGGAAACAAAATGGCGATATCATTTGCCCACGTTATTTGGTGTCCAATCGCGTGATGAGGAGGAAACAGAGTGGGGATGGAAGTGAGCTTCAGAACAAGAAATGGTTTTTGATACCTCCTTGGCTATCCTAATACCTGGATACCAAGGCAGCTTTTTCAACAAATTACGGGCTTTACTCAATAAAATTCAGATTTTTTATCCGGGAATTAGGATCGCCAAGAAGGTATACTGCACTTTTAGAATTTTTGAGCATCGATATTTTTTAGTTGGCTAGATGGATGTATCACTTTACAGACTAGAGGAAATACTGAGTTGCTGATACCTCCTCTGCTATCCTATTACCCCGATACTAATTCAGCTTTTTGGAGGAAACAAAATGGAAACCGGGTTCTGCATGCAGAAGGTTGGTGGTGGTGGTAGTATCCACTATTTAATTCGCAGCTAACGAAACTGTCAGCGTTTATAGCATCAATATATAGTTGTACTGTACATTTAAAAAGAACATTTTTGCATCACAAGAGAAAGGAAGTTCAAAGAACTTCCTTCGGTGGCAAGATGTGCTACTTCACAAGCATAGCAATTGAGGGTGTGGCAGCTCATCATATACCTACCTCAGCCACATAAATTCACTGTTTCAGATGTGTTTCTTGACTATGCATACAAATGTGCTAGTCCCCATATTGTTGGCTAGTTGTAACCGAGAATTACGAGTAGGTTGGTTGACTGACTTAGTTTGTCTGTAGACAGCTCTTGTGTATTTCCCAGGATTTCTGAGTAGGAATGTGATGTTGCATGTTTTTTTTTCAGCCACTCCTGCCTTAGGATTATGATGAAATGGGGCATATCATTTTCTTTAAAATTTCATATGTATTCATATGTATGTTATGCTGCTTATACCCTGAAAATGGAGGCGATTCGTTCCTCTGAAACCTCAGTTAACACAATATCTACATGGCACCTCATCCAAGACGACAGCATTCTTCAACCTACATGAAGATGCAATATGTATGTTATGCTGCCTACAAAGGAATTTGCAAAAAAAAAAAAAAATAATCATCATTTGTACATGTACAATTTCACTGTACATGCTTCCACTGCAGTTTATCAGTTGGTTACATAACCAAATAAATTAATAACAACCATAATAACGATTTTTACTATTTTTTTAACCATCTCAGGACAGTCACAATCTTCATGTTTGAGCAAATAGCTGCAAATATGCTGAAACTAAATAGTCATATCAAGTCATGTATCTCTTCACAACCATAACAGGATCTTCTGAGATGCAGGGGAGTACGAGTAGTATATGAACTTCCCTCACTTTTATTCAAGCACTGCTCTTATACGATTAGTGCTGGAACACAGTACAGGCTTTAGTGGAACACTTCTATTTGTAGTGCACTGCAATTTCTACATGCATTACATAAAAATATTTTTAATATTGTCTCTTCCTATATGGCACACACGCAGGTCCAGCAAGCCTTATCTCACTTTTCCCAATATAAATATCATTACCCAAAAGTTAAAATCCAGCCACCAGGGCTCAGAGATTTAAATCCCTATTCCTGGATGATAAATGTTAGCAGGCAAGAAAATGCAAGGGGTGAAGTCAGCATGCTTGATGTACATGTGTGTGTATACATGGCCATTTATAAATATGACAAATGGCTTTTCCAGGGCGAAAAATGAATCCTAAAATTCCAGAAAATATGTTAATTCTTACAGTCCAATGACAGCCTACAAGGATCATATATATATATATATATATAGTACGTATGTATGTACGTTGGAATATTTCTGCAAACTTTTCTTGGAACATACATACTGCTCATTAAATTACAATAAATGTAGGCTTCTAATTACTAAAAGTTTTAAGTATAGTTTAAGCTTAAACCACTGAACAGGTTGGTCCAGTAACATTTCCCAGACTTGCATTCGTAGGACACGTGAAATCATCGTAGCATTCCTCAGTATCTCCAGGCAAATGTGAGGACAATGCCTTTATTAGGTTATAAACACTTTCCAATTCTACCTACCATCCAACACTACATAACTTGGTTACCAGCAGTGCTGTAAATCAAGCCACAAAAAATAAACTTGAAGTAAGTAAAGCTATCCCTGTACCAGGCTGTGAAGGCCCATAAGGTTGTGAGATGTTGAGGGTCCCACATTATCTAGATAATCGGCTCAAAGATTGTAAGGTTGTCAGCCTTATGCACTGCCCGTGCTTTACTTCTCAGAAAATAAACTTGAAACTTTCACAAAATTGTTTGCTGAACTTTACAGATGGTATTTTTCACATCTTCAAAAAAGGTCAGAGAGAAAACTGAAATTGAACATGACAGGGCCAATGTCATATAAACATTAAAAGTTCCTTTGCTTGCTTCACATTGGTTTCTTGCTTGTCATGTTCTTCAGCCCTGAAGAAGGAAGCAACATGTTATTCTGAGATGTAAGTTGACTTTCAGCAGACTACACAGTGCTGTATCCCAGAAGACAGAATTCTTCATAACCACCGGCCTGAACCTGTAATTCATACAAAGTGTCTATTAATTTTATAGTCAGTCATAATGTACAGTACCCGACAGAACAGACAGACAGCAGCCTCACCCCTGATGTGACAGTGCTCAATAACATGCAAAACTTCCTCTCTGCACATTCCATTGAAAAAGTCTAATGGTTAATAAGATTTTAAATTGTTTGACTAAACAGTGGCTTTATTTATAACCCACTGAACAGATCGACTCTTCCATCAAAATCACAAGACACTTTTTCCGTTTCCTTCTGCTTGCATTCTTTTCTCTACTACTAGCACGTGTTCTTGGACATTGCATCACGTGTACAATGTACAACAGCATGATGAATGTGAAAATAAAGAGAGGAACTGAAGTCACTGAGTGATGGTGCTGTTACTTACTGTTCATTCCCACCGTGGTGGCCCGGGTTCGATCCTGGGTCTGGTTAAGTGGGATTTGTGGTGGACAAAGTGGTGCTGGGGCAGGTTTTCTCTGAGTACTTCGGTTTCCCCTGCCAATCTTCATTCCACCAATTGCTCCACAATCACCCTCAGCTATCATCTGGGGCTGGTACAATAGGCCAGAAGTGGCCGCAGTACAAGGGACTTAGTCCCACCCCACTAGCAATAAAAAAAACTTACTATTCAGCTTATGAGCTGTGGTGCGTATTGCTGATACATGGTGCTGGGAAGACTTTATGTTCCTTCTGCATACCATCTCGTAGGAAATAAAATTTGGCGGGATCCCACACATGTCCTCTCCAACATGAAGGTAGCCCAATATAAGTGTCCTTGTGTTCTCCACAACCTGTGAACAAATAGCAAAATCAGAATTACTGCACTGGCACACACAGTACACTGGTAACTGCACAGAAACTTACTGCCTGCCCCCCTCCCAGTTATGTGTATTCCACGCAATGAGCCTGTATCAGGCACAAGTTAATTTAAAATGGTGGAGCGGGGGAAAGTTGCTCTGAAAAACCTGGTCCTGTAAGAAAAGATTTTTCAGTTACACACAAACACATTGCCCTTGAGTACTGCCAGCCCTGCTGATGAGTACCATGTTCCTAACAAATGGCAGACAGGCTCCCTTTTCACATAATATCTCTCTGTTGCCTTGACGATGCGATCCGAGCCCTCACACTTTCACTCTGTATTCAGATTGCTTGGCCAAAGGGAATGAATGTAGAAGTCCAGTCACACCTGAATAAAAATTACGTTAACAACAGCCAGCAATGAGTCATCTTCAATTTAATCATCCGAGTAGCTTTAGCGCTTTACGCTGAACAACTAACCTCTACACCAGGGCTGCAAAATTCCCAATAGACACCCTGTGCTCAATTACACACTTGAGCACCACATGGGGGTGAGGGGTCAACTTCACATCACATGCAGAGCAGCCTCCACTACCCAATGAAATGGGAATCAAATACTGGTCATCCAGCTAGTACCAGGTCACTATACCTACTGGCCTATCTTGACTCCAGAGTTCTAACTTGTTTATGATAGAATTCATCTCATTTTCAGCCAGAATGAAAGTTGTCTTCCTCTCATTTTAGAAATGGTCACCTGTCAATATCCCTCACCAGGATCACTATCACTACCAGACAACTTGTGAGCTAGCATCTTTCATTTCACAGCAGCAGTCCTTTTGGAATGAAAACCCTTTTGTTTGTGAAGTTAATAATATCAACCACTTAGCAATTTCCAAATATAGTGAACGAACTCCTGGCAGTTTATTTAATAACTTTTAAAATGCAAATCACTGATTACTTTCCATCTGCAAACTTCCCCTTTCACACATTGCATTTTCATCCAGGCAGTCTGTGCGATGTGTTCACCTGTTGCGCACCAAATGTGAATGAACAGAATACAGTATCAAGACATTTTCAGTATTTCACAGCAACTGGGCACCAGACTGAGGTGAGTGATCAGATTCATGCTGTCCAGAGTTCCACTGTCTGTTTTCATTCATACAGAAAAGGGTCACAGGCTTTCATGAGATATTGTACCCAAATGAATGAGCGAAGAAGTGTCCAGAAATCAGTGCCTGCTGAGACATGGGCGAGTCACACATTTGCTTGGACAGTGTGCTTCCTGAACAGAGTTATATTGGTGGACTACTGTGTTTCAGTACTGCTCTAGAGAAAGCAGTATGAAATACTAAAATTAACCTAACAGAAACATTTCACATAGGCAGATGCTACCTCGATAAATGGTGACTACAGTTTCAGAAATACCAGCACAGCTGGAGAGCACAATATTAAAGGAGGTGAATGCAATGAAACCAAGTAAACGGGGCATGTGAGAAGTGATCCACCCTTATGGTTGGATCTGAACGCTGAAATATTTATGTGCCGTCATAAGTAAAAAGTAAAGGTATCCCTATAACAGGGCTTGGAGGCCCATAAGGTTGTGAGACGTTGAGGTTCCCACATTTTCTAGACAATCGGCTGATAATGGTGGTGAGATTGTCAGCCCTACATGCCAGCCGCCCTTTACCCCCAAGAATATTAGTGGTACTCATTTCTGTTAGAGGCTGAGTCGACCCCAGGGCCATAGTGCAGCTGGAAGGATTAGGTAAATTTAAAAAATTCAATGACCTCATCGGGATTCGATTCCGTGACTTTCCAGCTTGTAGCATAGTGCCTCAACCAACTACGCTACTGTGTGCCCCTGGATGTGTCCTGTCATACCAGGAAAAAATGAAATTCAGGAAAAGAATTTAAAAGACATTGCTGCAGCCAATCAGTGTTGTTTCTGTTCGGAACACTATATTTACATCAGCCATTAAAACACACAAAACAATTTTAGAGCACCTGCAGCGATGTATGGAAGCGAAACATGGGCATTATCTAAATCCATGGGAGAGGAACACTGTGAGGAAAGTGCATAGGCCAGTAATTGAGTAGCAGGTTTGGAAAATCAGAACCAACCAAGAACTGATGGAATTACAGTAAAACTTGGTTATAGCAACATCGGTTTCTGCGACACCTTGTCTATTGCGTCAAATATTCAATGGTACGAACTAATTCCTCATAAAGCAACCGTTTTATACCTTGCTTAGCACGACATGCACAAATGCATCAACCTCGTATGTAACGTCATTTTCATTCCCGAATTTCTCTGATATGGACATTGAACGTAATTTAGAAAGTGTGTATTGGGCAAGTAACAGGAAACAGATGAAGATAACTGATTACTGTACTCGTATCTAGGTACAGTAAGGCACAACAATTGATGTAATCTACTGTAATTTGGTGAGTAGGCCTACCTTTAATATACAGTATTAGTGCNGAAACCTCTGATCTGGCAGCAGACAGTAGAGGTATGGTGAAGTGATTCAGGTAATGTAATTACAATGGAACAAAGCAGGGGGCAAAGAAATCTCAGTAAGCAAACCATGAGGTCAAAGAGAAATGTACAGGCCTTGATTGAGTTGGTTTGAAGATAGAGAGAATGATTTACTGGAGCTGAAAGCGGCAGACTGACTGTAAAAGGCAAAGAAAGGGCATCTGTTGTAAAAACAGTCAGGATTCTTACAGGGCCCTCAAGCCAAGGTGTGAAAAGAAAGACCATTATTTCACCCTTACAGAAAGTTGAGATAAAGATTAAAGCTCTTAGGCACAGATTGGAAATAAATTCAGACTGCATATGCAGATGTAACTGTGTGTACCAGGTCACGCACATGTATCAGTAAAGCAGCACAGTGACTGTTCCCATCCTACTCGACACTGTGCGGTGCATTTAATGAAGGCGTCCTGAAAGAGACCATCAAGTTCCAAGTGGTACAGCCAAATGAGTTCAGAAAGAGAGCCCACTGATATTTCCGTTGGATACAAAAAGGATGCCCTTTTTAGAAAGGTGAACAGACAAAATTTCTGTAGGAATACAACTCCACTTCTAGCATGGACATCTATGGAACAAAAAGGTGTTTGCATATGCAGACACATTCCTCCTGCAAACTTCTGAATAAATAAGCATGTTGCCTTTTGTCGCCAATTAACTCCCAGTAAAGCCCATTCAGTTTCTACTTTACCGAACGTGTCAAACAGACGCTCATATTTACAATTACTAGGGCATTTCCATAATTGCTCTTGTAATATGACTCCATCAACAGTTTGGTCAAGAAATTTTCCCCAAAACATTATAACTTATGCAGCCTCCACGTGCAACAGTTCACATGTAAGCACATGCATACATAAATTGTGTGTGCAGTCAGGTTTATTTTTGCTAAATTATTCTTTATATTACAAACTCTCGACATATCTGGGTTGCAAACCAGTACTGAACATGCTAAAGGTGAAACAAGCGCATATCTGATGATTGCAAAACCCATATTTAAGGTTTCCTTTGGGAGAAGTGCATTTTTACAGTAACATGACACAAATCTTAAATTGAAGAAATTTAGCACTGAGAGTACTGATTATGGGACACTGAACTGGAATATTAAATGGTGGTTCCACTATAGTATGCAAACTGAAGCAGCCCCACTGACTGTCAACTTCCCCAAAACACACCCTGTAATTACGTAAGATTTGAGGCTTTCACGGCGGTGACTATGAAGAAAGCAGTCTTCTGGGATTTGGCACCGTGTATATGTGGTGTTAACCTCCACATATACACGGTGCCAAATCCCAGAAGACTGTTTTCTTCACCCTGTAATTAAGTTCATGCGTGATATGCATCTTTGCTACAGATACTCCTTGCAGTTCTCACACAGTTAACACGGGCAGAAATTGCTGCATATCCTTCCCAAGTCCCTAACCAACATCCTCTTTGCAGGGGGGGAAGGGGCTGCCTCCCTAGATCCTCCATGTTCAGCCCCAAAACAATGACATCACTGAAACAACTTCTTCACTGGATGCCACCAAACTCCTGCCAACATGAACATACATTTTTTCAGAGGGTGTCCACTATGTAACTTACATTAACAGTAACACTTCATGACAGCATGCAGGAAATCCTTCCAGGACCATAATGCAAGTACATGATGCATGGAACCACTGTATTCAAAGGATAATACGTATTTCAGTATATCAGAAACTTTATGCTATAAATTGTCAATATAATTTTTTCTGACATAAACTCACAACCTAACACAGCCTCACTGCACATGGAGCCTGACATTGTTGCAAATTCCTGCTCATAAACAGCATTTGTGCTAGGTTCACAGCAGACTTTTAAAATGAACCTTCTACAAGAAGTGAATCAGCAACAAATACACAAACGAATCTGTACCTCTGAGCGTCAACTTACAAACAGCGGACCACACTGCATTGTGATCTTGCATTTCAGAGCAGGCTGATACCCACCTGTCCTGACCCAGGAGATCACAATGTTAACAAACCTACACTGCTTCAGAGACAACACACACCTTTGCTTCACAGAACCCTCTCTGCTGGCACCCAGTGACATGCCCTCCCTGTGATTGAATGCAGAAGGGAAGGGGTACTTTCCTGGATCCTCCTTGTTAAACCCAGACCCAATCACATCCTGTGGCAGCTGAAACAGCAGTTCCTCAACTGATGCCCCTCCAGGGCTGCCAACAACCACAAATTATTATTATTCTCCTATAATCTGCATCATGTTGACTAAGGCCCCTTTCACTGTTCGTTTCCAAAATTCTACTTGTTACTGTTGCTCTCACACGAGACTCACCTTCAATACAGATCTTGGGCCCTCCTTCCTTGGTAAGAAGTTAAGCTTCTTACAGGTGACATGCAAGGTGCATGTGAGGAATTCCTGGATGCTCTTTGCTCACTTCATGCTAAACAGAGTCCTTCACAATGGAGGATGCGTTTTGTATCAGTGGTGTCACACCATCCTAGAAAGCAAGAATAAAGAATTTGTAGACAATATCAAGTTTTCAAGCAAGATATATTTACCAGCACTGGCAGCACTGCTTACTATATATATCTTATTTGCATTAACCCATTTCACGTGCGTGAATTAGCCAATCAAAATACAAATTTAAGCTTTTCAATTTGCATAAACCTCAATCAAAATCAAGTGTCTACGCAGGAACTCGTTGCTCCAGCTGGCTAAATTCATCAAGAACTGTAATTCTCCACAGTGATGCCATCAATCTCCTGTCAACAGTGAGAACAAATCCACGAGACTCTCAACTACTTCTGTAATACTAATCAGCCCAACCACCACAAAGTACAAACCAAACTATTAAATTTCCCTTGGATGGGGAGACCATTGCGGTTCGTCCTACACAATAATCTACCACTGGCACTACACCCCGACAGCTTATATAACAACCCAACAGCATAACATTCATCTGATGTGAAGCAAATCCTAACCTGGTGTTGGCTGGCCATTGTACTATCGAGGCTTAAATAATTCCTCTTGAAAATGATAACTCTTCTCTACCTTTATAGTAATATCGTGTGCTCTCTGCACTTATCCATTCTATTCTTAATGCAGAGAACTTAATTACTCCTATTTCTTTTATACCTCCAGTTATCTTTCTCCTCCTTCCTCCATCTCCAGCTGGCCATATTTGTTGTAATTGCAACCAATCAAATCGAATCTGTCCAATCTTGATAACCAACGGTTACAACCACCAATACCATGGAAACTTATAGGTCAAGCCAGGTGAGTATTCTGTGCTCCAAGTTTCTGCGGTTGTGACACCAGTTCGTATGGTCACCCATTAGCACACATTTTGAATTCCTATTTAGTATAAAACAATACTGAAAAAGTGTTGAATGTTATTATAATAATGCACAGGAATATACATATAATTCTGTATTAGTCTATACTAGAAACATCCCACAAGATCTAACTAAACCCACATTAATTTGAGTACTATCATTTGTGCTGAATGTAATGCTCATGTTATTTGACATCCAGTTTCGGAAGCACGTATCCTCTCCAGTCCTGTTGCTGCCTGCCTTTTTCATTATAGTATATGACAAACAGTTCACGCACTATTCAACTTTATTTGTAATGGAATGCCCCATTGTCAGACCTGCCATTAACATATTTCACTGTGTATACTCCCATTCTGTGGATGTCCCACCGGAGGAATACAAAGAACCTATCCAAATACAGCCCTAAGGGCAGTTTTCTCCAACCTCAGAAGATTACACAGAAAGGCAATCTCATCTTCACTCTTCCATCCTTTCAAGAGAAATCTGATAGCTATTTATATCATATTACAGACATATTCTGTATTAGGTTCCCCTCCCACAACAGTGAACATGATTACAGCATTCTGGCTTGTGATGACAAAGTAGCGTCACACAAACATACCAACTTCTAAGAAACCTCCTCCTACCATCCTTCATCTGCCCTAATGACGCAACCCTGCATGTCGGCATCATAGCAGAAGAACAATCTTCAGATAATGCTTTAAGTGATGGGCAGCCATTAGAAGTAAGTGACAGGAAGGTAGACAAGGAGCCACATAAGTGGTAATCTGACTGGCTGACAAATAAGACACACAAGCAAATTACTGGGGTTACTGCAAGGGGTGGAAAGTGCAAACTGCTCTGGACTGCATCAGTGTGATGCAGTTAGTGTACAGAAGGAATTTAAATTAGCACCTTTTTACATTTATGTAACAAGGAAAAAAACATCATTTTAATGGCAACAGACTGATAAATTAGACACTTTTTAATCATTAATTACACACATACAATACATACTCTATATACACTTCAACACATTACTTTTGTTTTGGAAGTATCACATTTAACTTTCAATTTTCACACATTCAAATTTAACAACTCTTACACAGATTCCAGAAGCAGGGAGAGCATTCACAAATTTCTCCATAAGATGACTTAAGAAGTTTGGTACTACATTATTTTTGTATTATTTTTAATTGTAACTGAATCACCATCATAATTTTTAACAGATTACTCAAATTCTTCAGCAAGTCTTGCTACCTAAAAATTCAACACAGTGATGTAAATACAATTATGGTACTTTGCCATAAGAACTACATATTGAGACATGACACCTAAGAGCCAGACAAACTAGACAGAGTCTTGAAGTTCACAAACACAGGGAATAACACTGCAGAATGTGACATTCCAGAGTTAAAATGGCACAACTTCTCTGCTTAACCTGCAAGCTCTCTTTCAACTGTGCTAACAATAAAAAAACAACTGTTATCTGTGGTATCATGTCCCTTTTCACAAGTCAATCTTTCTAAGCCATCCTCTGAAATAATGTTTCTATTCAACATTGCCACTGCGTAAGTCAACACCACTCCAGTCAATGTCTAAAAAGAAATGAGAGGACCATAATAGAACAGAAGGTAGTAATACAAAATCTCAAAGTATAAATAAAAATTACAAAATTAACCTGTATTATACCCTCCCCTGTAATTGTTTCATTGTGAACATACAGAGACAGTCTATTTTGGAATGTGAGTTACAAAGGTGTCTTATCTTTCTTTTTATATATAGAGTGAAATATGATCATTTGTTGGTGTGATACTATCAAGTACACACTCCTCTCCACTGCTAAACAAATCAATAGGAATACACATAAATTATTACAAGATAAAGATATGCAAATAGACATACAAATAAATATACGTTACTTTCTAAACTAATCAACAGAAAAATACATTGTGGGAAAACTCTATAAAGACAATACTTAAAAATTTGGTATATGATGTCTCTCATTCGAGTGACATGTTATACATTTTCTATGATATGTTTCCGTACACATAGGAGCAATCCAATAAAATATTGTCCCTAACAGAAGACACTGTATTACTTATTGCAACTCTGTGAACAGTTATGACATTTTCAGAGTACCTGGTTATTCACAGGTCCCAAACTACCACAGTGGCATTGGTTTTAATAACCACTTACAGTGATTAATCAATAAAGATACTGGAAGTTGTCAGATTATGACACAAATTCACATTTCATGTAACAAGAGGTCACTACCATCAGTGAAACTAACGCTTATACTCTGTACATCATCTCAGCTGTTTTTACCCAATTACAAATGTAGTGGAGAATTACTGTACAAGATTTGGCTTCACAGATATGTCGACATGGAGTGGAACAAAGTCACCTGAGAGGAAGACCGAGATCAAGACGAGGGAAACAGGTCAGGAAATATGTCACACAGAAAGAAGACCGTCATAGGGGTCTGAGGTGTAGGCAGTTTGGGATGGGTGGCAGACTGAAAGGCTCAGACATAATGGGATGGAAAGAGGTGAAAAAGGATGTGCACAAAAAAGTCTTAAAATATGACAACCTACAATGAACATTCTTGCATGCTAGCCAACAATACATTTGAAACTACTTTTATCTGTGACCATTTATTCCACCAGTAATGAAAGGAAACATTCCCTTCCTGAAATTGTCACTCAATTTGCAGACCACAGGAACACAAACAGAAATGAATTTGTATAATCTTTGCCTTATACAAACTCTTTGTTTTGATCACAGAGATATGAAAAAAGTTACAGCACACAGAAGACACCCTCCTGCCTTGACCTGCAGGGTAGCTATCATCCCAGTATTTGTACTGCATGTTCCTCACTGTATTTCAAAGTCACATCAGAATTCTGATAGACTGTGTCATGCACTGTCTTGCGCATCACATTCCTAAATTATGGGAGTTTTTAAACTTTCTTAAAATCACATATTACTATTAAATCATTCCACATTACAACAAAATTTCAACCTAATGGATTACAGAGGATTCCACTACAAATATAATGGCTCAAGATTGACAACTGTAATAAACTGGCAACTTAAATACTTTTTTCCTCGACCTTCAAAAACATTCCCAATCTAATCTTTTCAAACTGATCATAAAATATTAATTTACTGCTTACATATCAAGTGCATACATAATTCATGAATTAAAAGAGAGAGAACATAATATCCAGAATTTCACTATCTTTCCATCTCATGTCATTACAAGCCTCAGACCTGATTGGCTTACCAGTTTAAAGTGTGGTACAATGACATTCTGCAGGAGTAGCACACATTACATGAAATTTCTTTGCAGACAGGAGGGGGAGCTGATTAACGACAAGGACTTAGTTCAAAACATTGTGTGTACATGGCTAATTCATGTTCAGTAACATTCTGCACAATTTCTTGGAACATGCAACATAATTCCTACAACATAATTGGTTATATGATCACAGACCTTGCACAAGTTAACAAACAGGAAGCCTTGCACATATATTATGTAAGACAGGAATTCAACATCCTATGTAAAAACATATTTATTCAAATTGCACACACTTACTCTTCTACCAGTGTCTGAACACACATTAGCACAGTAACTTTTTTTGGAAGTTTTAATTTCATAAATGAATTAAATCACTTTAATATAAAAAAGGTACATAGTTTCATCATCAGACACTGATACTACTTTTCTATACATATTAAAAATTCTATTTTATGTACTAGTGTGTACAGTCAATTTAGAATCCAGTAGTCCACTTCACTTACATTTACAGAGCTGGTTCAAACCTGGCTGGATATCCCCACCGTTCTGCATAAACAAGTGACGCAGCTCTGCATCACAGCACTGACATATGTTCTCCTACACATGTGATGGGTAGCACCTCAAGATATACCATGCTTGCAATCAAATTCTTTGCTGAAGAGAAGGGGTCCGAAGTTCCCTAATGACTTATCAAAGAGTACAGTCTGGTTATGATGCTGCATGCAAGAGCATCCAAGACACAATGGGCGTTTCTCTTGTGGCCACAAATGCCAGTTGATCAGGTGAACACTGAGAAGCCCTTACTTAACAACCATCACATTTCGGTGGCAAAAGCTTTACAACATGCAACTGTAGGTGTCAGCAGTGTAGACACATTCACTTATGGGCACCTTAGCTTTTTGAAAAGTGGGTACCAGGTCAAAATTTGAACCATTCTCATGTGGATCACATTTAGAAATGTCATTCGGTCTTCTATAACATTATTACACAACATTCTTCTTACTGCAACATTATACACTTTATCATCAATATTATTATTATTACACATAAAAGTATTTGGAGACCAAGCACATTATACTTTTTGTACCTGTATCAGGTTAAGTTGACCATGGGAACAGCTAAGGAACCAATTCCAGCTATGAATGTTATTGCAATTCTGTTTATCAAATACAATCACAAGGAACTAACACCCTCACACCCTGCAGTTCACAGTGAGCCCTTCTCCAACACCCTGAATATTTACGGAGTCATCTGTGACCCCCAAAGAATATAACCCCTGGATGTGACACTGTAGTGTCTGGCGGATGTCATGTCTCGGACATATTAGAGGCCCCTGTCAGAACATTGGCTACCACCTACCAGGCTACACAGCATCTGGACCTCACATCTCAGAAGAACATCTGGTCAAAAGTAGTAGTTCGGAGAAAGAACAAATATTCGCACCTTATAGACATCACTAAGGGACTGTGTACCTGCTGGGATGAAACTGCTCATGTGGCCACTAAGCCCAAACTCCCTCTTGCAACAGTCACTTATTATACAGGAACTAGGTTATCTGGTTTATCCATGGACTCGAACGTTGACTACGGAATAACCAAATGCTGTTAGTCACGAACTGAAAAAACATAATGTGCATACCACAAAAATACAGATCACATTTTTGTATACAAGGTACTAACTTTCTTTTACTTACAAAACCCTCTCTTTAAGGAAGGTTAGAGTCAAAATTCAAGAACTCCAGAACTTTCACATAAGTTGCTCTCCAGTCATCACACAAATTTACCTGTAAGCCTGGCTTGGCACGAAGTGGCCAAACGTGTAATCCTATCACACTATTTTGCTTATGGTTCAACCGTTTTTATGCACATGCAAATATGGCTTTGTCTACTTCCCAAATGAAGGTGCCTTTAACATGTCGATCCGCTGGGACTCCTCAAACATAGGAACAAATTTGTACTCACACGGGCTTACTTTCAATGGATTGCGCTCGCCACTTGTGTACTGTGGGGGATACGGATTGCTGTGCGCATAGCCATCATACGCGGGGTTCGGACATGATTTTGGGCTGCTGTCTAGCCTGAGTTGTCGCCTTTGGCGATAACATTGGTATCCGATGTAGAGTGCCAAGCAAATGCAGACAAACAGCAGCACCACGATGATGATGTACATGGTGGATTCTGTGAAGACCCCAGGCGAGTTCCCGGAAGATGATGGCACCAAATCAGCATGGCCACTGGTACCATCAGCCTCTGCACATAATTAAGAGTGAAAGTAGTAACTCACTGTTCATGCTCTGGAGGGGAACATATTTCCTAAACCTCCTACTGCCAAGATTAGTGCTACAGGCTGTTTCTTAAAAACTGTGCATGCATATGAATTATACACAAGGGGAGAGCAGACTATAGGTATTAGCCTGATTGCACAATGTTATCAGCTGGCTGCTACACCTTTGTAGACCCATGCTTTCCTGAGCTTGGCGCTAGTTGGAGGCTGGTCAGCTTCATGCTCCTCCCTGCCACAACCCCCAAGGAAAAGATTCCTCTGTACCTATTGGGTAAGAGGCTGGGGGGTTGGGCACAACCAGTCTGGACACTGTGCAGAGGGGTCGTTCAGCCTATACCCACTTGCTACCTTGGCTTGTCTCAGCATCATACAGTGAAGAAATACCAGGAAGGAAACTGTATGCATTCTAGTAGCTTCATGCTTCTGCCATTACCTAACAAGGAAAGGTTCTACTTAATGTGTCAAGTGTGACCCTATATTTAGGCCATGGAATGATGTCACACAAACTGACTCCTGTTTGGACACCTAGACATTCTGTTCTCATGAATGTTGGTAGCAATAAATAACCTTCCCTACTGGTGACTTGCTCTAAGCTTACTGACATGTTAGACAGGGCTGCAGAGGAACGCAGCAGTATGCAGAAAGGGAGAAGCCTCAAGCAGTCATCCCCATTCAGTGACTTCAGTACAGTCACATAAATAATGCAGTTCCTGCGAGATGGTACTATGAACTTCATCCTCGTATGTTGTGCGTTCAAGTTCTAAGGTGTCTGATTTTTTTCTCACACAATAATCATACAAAAAATTTGAAACTTCTGTCACTTTTCAACATAATCTCCCTACAGACATACACATTTTTCACAACGTTGACGCCATGATTCCATGGCCGCTGCGAACGCTTCTGTAGGAGTCTGTTTTGACCACTGGAAAATCGCTGATGCAATAGCGGCACAACTGGTGAATGTGCGACCATGGAGAGTGTCTTTCACCGTTGGGAAAAGCCAAAAATCGCTAGGAGCCACGTCACGTGAGTAGGGAGCATGAGAAATCACTTCAAGGTTGTTTTCACGAAGAAACTGCTGCGTCGTGTATGCCCGATGCACTGCTGCATTGTCCTGGTGAAAGAGCACACGTGCAGCCTTTTCTGGCCGTTTTTCTCGCAATGCTGGAAGGAGCTTGTTCTTCAAAACATCTTGGTAGGATGCACCTGTCACCATAGTGCCCTTTGGAACGCAATGAGTAAGGATTACGCCATCGCTGTCCCAAAACATGGACACCATCATTTTTTCAGCACTGGCACTTACCCAATTTTTTTTTTTGGTGGCGGTGAGTCTGTGTGCTTCCATTGAGCTGACTGGCACTTTGTTTCAGGATTGAAAAACGGCATCCATGTCTCATCCATTGTCACAATTTATGAAAAGAAAGTCCTATTCATGTCTTAATCATGTGTCAACATCACCTGGCAAATTGCCATGCGCGCAGCAGCCTTGTGCTTGTCTCTGTCAGCATTCGTGGCACCCACCGGGAGGACACTTTCTGCATTCGCAGATCTTCATGCAGGATTGTGTGCACAGATCCCATGGAAATGCCAACTCTGGAGGCGATGTTTTCCACACTCAATCGGCGATCCTCCAAAACAACTTTCTCAACTAGCTCGACCATGTTGTCAGACTGGCTGGTGCGAGGCCGAGATTGTTTTGGTTTGTTATCACACAACGTTCGGCCTTCATTGAACTGTCACACCCGTATAAGCACATTTTTCACATTCATGACACCATCACCACATTTCTCACTCAATTGGCGATGAATTTCAATGGGCGTCGCACCACGCAAGTGGAGAAAACGAATGACTGCTCGCTGTTCTTGTAATGAAAACGTCGCCATTTTAGGTATCAAAAACACTCATCACTCTCACCGCCACCACTAGAGTTCTGTGTGCCGTACAGTGCTGCCATCTCTGTCGTGCATTCACAAAGAGTGCACACGTATTTTAAACTAAACCGCATGTGTCTATCTGCTCCCAGTCCTGAGAAAAAAAACTGGAGACCTTAGAACTTTAACGCCCTTCGTATAATGAATTTGAGGGCGATAAAATGGCAAAGACTGATGATTACCATATCCTGGGCAATGAACAAGTTCTTCTGCTTGTAACCAACACAAAATGTAGTTGCATGGTGTTATAAGAATGCAACATTTCGGCAACTGGGTCTGATTGCCCTCTGGTCAAAGAATGGGAGGCACCTGCTCTATTGGGACAAAGAGCTATGCTCAGTGAAACGTGTTCTTCAGAATATCAGATAACAGACAAAGTCTGAAAGTTCAGTAACCCAAACTGTCATACACCAATGTCGGAATCAACATGAAGTATACTGTCACCTGACGCCATGTAGTCTGGTACACAGATAGCAACAATTCAGAGGAGCCTGTTGCCTCCATCTACCAAACTACATGACGCCACATCCCAGAAGACTTGTGCTTTTTAAATGATGTACCTTTGTCAGTCTCTATACCTGAACATAAAGGGCAGCACTTTCCAGGCTTCTTAACTGGATTTTTGCAGGAAGCTGAACACACTTTTTGTGTACACGTCTTGTGGCCAAGGCTGCACCAACAGTGAGTGCATGCATCTTCCTGCCATTCTTCACCCTCATGGTACGTGGCATTTCCAGCTGTGCATGTTCTCGGTGGAGACTGATCTGCAATATCAGGCCCCATAGTTGTTAGAAATATCCCATGTGCACTACATAAGGGCTGGATTGGGGCAAACACCCTAGCAGGTCACTGAATGTTACATCTTCTATCTGAAATGCATCTCAGTACAGTGCATGTGAAGCAGAGACTTTTATATTTCCATGGAAATCGATATATACACTGTGAACCCATGGGTTACAACACTGTGTAGTCCAGTGGGTGGTCACAATCACATTGGAGGAACACCAAGCCACAATCTTCAGGCCAATTCTAAACAGACGACAAACACAGAAAGTTTCTCAGTTATGCTGATAACCATCTACCAGTCTAAACGGCATCACAACCCATATCTGACACACCATGATTATTATTAGTATTGGAGGGGGTGGGTTTCCCACGCACTGCGACCGGTTGTTGATCTATTGTGCGTCCCCCTTTAATTTCTACTGTCACCATACCCTTCTAGTACTGGTGCTCGCTATCAGACCCGTTCTGCCAGCGAGGTTGGGCCTCTCTGGCAGTGATCCCTGATACTTCCCCATCTACCGGAGGAATTGGAAACTATTTGGGCGGGAAACTTTGCCTCATTTTGCTCAGAGGTCTCCTAGAGACATGAGGATTTTTACGTGCCGTAAATCTACATGGGACACACGGCTTAAAGTCCATCCTGGAGGACTTGTTCCCTGAATTTTTCCACCTTAAAAATTCCACGACCTCCGCCAGGTTTGAACCCGCATACCTTGAGTCATGAGGTGAAAACGTTACCCCTAGACTACGGAGGCCGCTGACACACCCTGATAGTTTCAATTTTGATTAGCTTTGCAAGAGGACTGTGCCTGCAATCAACAGAAGTGGCCGGCCACTCTCACGCAGTAATGTAACACCACTTAGTTTTCTCACGTAACTAAATGCAATGGGAATGAATCAAACCATGCACAAAAATTCCACCATGATGCTCACACATCTCTTTAACAAACATGGCCACCGTACATACTGGTAAGAGTACAGAGTGAATTTTAATAATGTCTTTGGATATTCCCCATTAGGTCTACTGTAGCAAATATGCATGAAAGTTACATTTGCAAATGTGTGCACCCCCCCTCCACACACACACATCAGACAAACGAGCCTCACAATACCAACATAAAGAAAATAAAACAGACATTTACCCAGACACATGGGGCAGCACTGATGCTTCGCAAGGACCGGCCGGCTGCAGGTAAGGTTTGGGCAGTGATGCTTGAAGCAAGTTACAAGACCGTCCGCACACACACAACTGCGACAGCCACCTTCTATCCAGGCAGTTCCATGTGGACGGTGCACACCACAGGATCTGGCATGTGATGGGTATGGGATCACAGCGGGCTGAGGGCATCTAGCGCAGCACTGCCCACGCTGGTGGGTGGGCTGGGGGCAGGGTGTGGGTGGACAGCGATGTGCCTCGCACAGCACGCGTCCCAGGTGACACATACACTGTGTGCAGCCATCTAGAGGCCATGTCTCCCCTTCTACTCGATACACACCATCCACTGAATGGCACACCATCACTTGCTGTGGTTTCTTGGCCTCATGCTCGGTGCGCCCCTCATCTGTATGAGACAGGAGTGAACATCTAGGTTAGAGTCAATGCAGCACACTTCATAGGTGGAAGCTCACATCAGATGAAAGTAAGGGGTGAGTCGGTATACTTGTTTCATATTTCAGAGATTCTAGGTTCATATTCTGGCTCATAGTCCAGCTATTCTGAGGGAGGTCGTTTGCGGTTTTTCTCAGTCTCTTCACGCAAATACCAGGATAACACCTCAAATTAGGCCATGACAACTTCCTTTGACAGCCTTCCCAATTTGTTATTCAGTAATCATTCCTTCATTTCCTGCTACATACTCTCGTTTAAATTACTGGAAGTATCGTTAAATAGACCACACATGTAAAGATACAAGATGTAAGCAGACTTGCCAAACTTAATGCCTTTACTTTGAATTCCAATTACAGCATTACACAGGACTTACAGACTCTCTCGTATACTTACTGAAGCCTGTACAGAAACAAGTTCCATCTTTTCCCCCTCCTCCCACCACAGAATTGCAGGTCACAGCCACTTCAAGCTGAGTCATGAAGGCCAGGGAAACGCAACAGTAGGCATGGAGTTAGCAGCCCTGAGTGTCCTCATCCCTGCCACCCACGGGACTTACCTCTATGCGCCAAGGTCAACAGCAGTGGGACACATGGGGATAACATGTGTGCAATCTACTAAGTCACGCATATAGCCAATGTATGCGCTGTTTCCAAAAGCAACAAACCGTGCACTGCGCTGCTTGGTCTGGCAGAGTGTAAGAAAACACTGTCATACCTGGATGGGGGGGGGGGACACAGTACCATAGTTGGCTGAGGCACTATCCTGCAAACTGGAAGGTCATGGGTCCGATATCTGATGAGGTCATTTGACTTTTTCAACTTATCTAATCCTTCCAGCCACATAAGGGCCCTGGAGACGACTCAGTCTCTAACAGAAATGAGTACCAGGAAACTTCCTGGGGATAAAGGGTAGCCGGTATGTAAGACTGAAAATCTTACCGCCACCTGTTAGCTCATTGTCTAGATGCATTGTCACAATCCTATGGGGCTTCATGGCCTGTTACAAGGGTAGCTTTACCTTTTCTTTCATCTGGGCTATGAGAGAGCCTCACCTGAGCAGCGTGGACAGCAGTCATGTGACTCATTGAAGAGAGGATGCTTGCAGAGTGGAGCTGGGCATGTGATGAGATTGCACATCTCTGCTCCGCCGTGGCAGTAACACTGCCGACAACCATCAAACCAAGTTTCTCCATTGCTGTGATGCTGTCCACCTGGAAAAAGAGCCACCCCAAAAGTTACACTACTTAAAATGACCACAACCAATCAAACAATACAATAATGTCAGAACAAGAAAAACAGCACTATATATAAGTATGACAGGGATAAGACAAATATACAGGGCTCCAAAATGAAGGCAAAGTGCTAGTACTTAGAGGTGACAGTCCGCTGACACGGGGTAGGAGAAGTATTGGTAGTGGCGGGGAGAGCTCCAGCATGCCGACAAGTGTGGCAGGGAATGCAGTACATGCGTTCTCAGAAGGAAATAACTTCTTACCTCACTGTGCATTGTGTGGCATAGTGATGGTGGTTTAGTCTCGCTGATGTTCACACATCCGACGTTAAGTTTTAAGTGCCGAATGGCAGACTATTATACACTTTTCACTGTTATATACATGAAGAGTTTATTTACATATTACACGGGTCTATTCTAAAGGAGCACCTCCGGCAATGTCCGCATAGATATCATCTCCACATGCCTGTCCTTCCTCGTCACCACCAGATGAATCGGGGCTATCATCAGAACTGTCATCACTATCAACGCCAACATGGAAGATGAACTCCCGTCCTGCGTCCAAAAGGCCTTCCCGTGCCATTAATTGTTGATCAATGTTCCTTGCATTTTGGCACCTACGTTGCCATTCTTCTGCAGTTATGGTAGCCAATTTTTGATCTGCCAGTTTAATGATGTCATCCATCTTAAATGTGGTATTATTTTGAGGAAGCCAATTTTTTATGGTGGCCCATATTAACTCAATCTGGTTGAGTTCTAGGTGATACAGAGGGAATCGTAAAATATTGTGATTGTGTTCTGCAAAGATTCCATCTATTTTATAGGAGAGGTATTTCGGTTTGAGTGGTAGGATCATATTCTATATGTCTGGATTCCGCAATTATGAAAAATCAGTGTTATTGAAGGTAATAGGTGGAAGGTGATATTTTAGCCAGGATATCTTGAAATCTCTTCTTGAATTTGAGTTAAGGGCTCTGTTTAGTTGTATATTATGGTAGGGAGCGTTATCAATGACAAGGACAGAATTTGGGGGAAGGTTAGGAATAAGTCACTCCTTTAACCATTTTTCATAATTGGTGTAGTTCATGTCACTGTGGTTGTCTCCTGTTTTTTGGTGGGATTTGAAGCAGACATAGGCATTAGGGATGAAACCTTGCTCTCCCCCTGCATGGATAACAATGAACCACTGGCCTTTGGACACAGGGGAAAATAATCCCTGGATGGATCCATCACTCTATGCATATGGGGTGGTGTGCGATGAATGAATATAGGTTTCATCCATGTAGATGATTGGGCTGCCCTCTTCCTTATATTCTTTAATTTTCCGCAAATACTGAAGACGTTTGGCTCTGATATTATATCGTTCCACCAGTATCTGCCGATTATTTTTTGTTTTCTTCCGGTTGAACCCCAGTTTCAAAATAATTTTCTTTAATGTGGAGATGCATCTCTGAAAATCTAACGTTTTCTTCAACTTTTCGTGAACTTTTTTTCAGGGTAGGTCTCAGTTTTTTTGACTATGTAGAAGATATTTATTGTTCTTCGCACCACAAACTTGTTAAAGTCGTCCAAAGTTGCTAATGGAGATTTCCTAGGTCTTTCTTTATGGGGTGTTGAAAAGCAAGTGGACGCCCCAGATTCGATATTTTCTGTTTCTCGTATTATTCTTCTGACACTACTTTCCAATACACCTGTTGCCTTTGCTACTTCCACTCCTATGTTCTTCACTGTAATTGTTGGCCCAGCCTTTTTTATATACTTATATACATTACTAACAAGTTCTCTTGATTGTGAGTGCAACACTTTTCCACTCAATTTACTTTGTGTAGGTGGCATGTTAAAGGAGATAAAAAATGTACAAATATAAATAAACAAAAAAGAAAATCAACGAAAAAAAACAATAAAATTAAATATTAGTAGAGTAATTAGAGAATAATATACTCAAATAAGACTCCAAGAGTCAAGTGTGACTCCAAGTCACACTGAATGCAGACGAATGACTGAGCAAAACACCCCTCAACTTTCACGAATGGACCTGCCCATCCACTACGCAGCTTTTCCTGGACTGTCACCTCTGAATACTAGAACATTAATTGAAACATTTTTTTTTTTTTTGTGGATGCAGTATGGAGCACATCAAGATACGTCACAAAGTTCCTAATTCCCACGTGGGCGTGCACTGGTCAAGGACGATGGTCCCATGACCCCCCTCCCCCTGCTCAGAAGACTTTGGGCTGTGCATTTATTCTTTTGCAGAGTTATGGCAGAAACAAAGGGAAAAATTACTGTCTTGTGGGATGTTATGATGCATAATCTGACGAGTGTTTCAGGTTTTGGAGAAATGTACTAACTACATCTTCAGCCCATATGAGTAAGGACAGTACTTCAGAGTCTGTTGGGTGAGGTTCTCAAAGCAGCGAGTGTGAAGAATAGTGTTCTGCAATGTGATGCAGTGTACCACTACTGTGCAGAAGAATGTACTGCCTCAGTCTTTTGGGGGACAGAGCAAGCTAAGTAAGTAACCAGCATGAAATAAGCACTGACAAGACAGCTTAATCTTCAACCCTGATGATGGAGGCAATATATTCCTCCAAAATGTCAGTGAACTTCTAGAGGACCACAGAGAATCACATTCCAGAGGACATCACTTTTTAGTGTAAAGAACATTTGCCTCTTCAAAGGGTCACTGTGGAAGGACAGCCAGTTCCTTCATAATGCTGGCAAACACGTCTTATCCTCCAGTAAGGAAGACAGCAACCTCAAACATCACAACGGTGCCCCAGAGCCATCAGGGACTTCATTCCAGTTTGAGCTGCTGGATACAACACTCACCTGCTGATATGCACGCTGTTTCTGTGATGACATGGTTGTATCTTGTAACGTCAGGGACGTGTTCTGCTGATGCTGTAACAGAAAGTAACAGCACAGTGTAGATGTAAGATGTGCCAGCCTGATGCATCTTAAAAAGATTGATGTTCTGTGAAATTCGCCCAGTCGATATAGTTATGGTCTACTTGCTGGATGTGAAGGGTTCTGTTCCAGGCAGTGCAAGATTTTTCTCCTCTCCAGTGTCCAGACCAGGTCTGGGTCCACCCAGACTCCTATCCAGTGGGTACCAGGGTTGTTTCCCTGGGGATAAAGCGTGAAGTTGACCACCCCACCTCCATCGACTGCCAAGGTTAATAATTGTGGAGCTGAATCTCCATGGCGTGGTTCTTAATTAATTAAATGCAGAAACAACTTTATCTTTTTACCTTTACACGATTTCAAAAAAGTGACACATTTTTAATCACAAAACCATTCATGGCTCTACCTTAAGCAACACCATGGTCACATCCTGCCTCGCAACCACTACACTGGTAACACCAGTAACAGATAATCAACAAATGCAGAGATATGAAGGTGACTCTTTTACACCAGGTTACAAGGAAATTCACACATTACGGACAGACACACACACGCATGGGTGATGTGAGATCACAGCTTCTTCTCAGAAAAGGAAGTGGGTTATTAAAGCAAGCTGTACAGACCTTTACATTTGCAAATTGGACAGCCTCGATCGTTGGTACGCAGCCCATGCACGCAGTTCTTGTTGCAATCCATCAGAGGACGACATTCCTTGCATTTGCAAACTTCGCAGCCTGCTTTGCTGAGCCGGAAACCATGAGAGCAATTCTTGTGACAGCTTGTGAGTGCAGGACAGTCATGTGACACCACACATTCACACAGCTTGTTTCCATGGCTGTCTTGCAGGTAGCCACTTGGACACTCCAGGACACATTCCTCTGGAACCAATCAGAGAACTGCTTCTTTCTTGGGAAGAAGGAACATTTAATTCTAAAGTCATATATAGTGTTACTTATACATGCCTCATTTTCCACAAGCATTCATGGGCAATTACAGAAGGGGGCCACATCTTAGCGAACCCATCATCAGTCACACAGAAACAGCTCCATGGTTTGCTAACATGACACAAATGCTTATGAAATAGGAGCCCTAGAGTCTGAAGGTAGACATCCATGGTAGCTCTCCAAACAAGTCTGTGGCCTGTAATGTTTGACTGATCATCACAACAGCGGTAACAACTAAATATACGGCATTGGCATGGTGACCATGTGATCACTGGACAAGGTTCCCACAGCAGTGACTTACTCTTTAAACCTAAAGATGGAGGCTCCCTCATGATTACATGGTGTCACAGCCCAGAAGGCATGTTACTGTCTGTCTAGTGCAGTCTAAACGCAAAAGTGCAGTGTGCTGGAGAGCTCTACTAATTTTGAAGGACAAATTCCAGAGTTTAGGATATTACTACAAACTTGAGGCCACTAGTGCCAAGAAGGAACTTAGAGATTTATATCGTATTTACCGGCTTGACACTGGCAGGTATAGCAACCATCATCGTCCCTCACGAAGCCATGCACGCATCGCAGAGAACAGTTGCTGAGTGCCGGACAGTGTGGAGGAATTGTCACCACTGATGTCGCTGTAAAGAGGACATTCCCACATGGCCCGATTACAAACTGGCCTCCAGCATAGATTAAGACACACCTGCACATCAGCACAACATATGCTACATGATAAACATAACAGGCATGATCATCATCTTCTGCAGATAAAATATTTCAGAGGGTGGGGGGAGGCTAACTGGGAACTTTAAATATGACCAAAGATGTAAGATTTGAGGCTTTCACGGCGGTGACTATGAAGAAAGCAGTCTTCTGGGATTTGGCACCGTGTATATGTGGTGTTAACCGACGTTTCGGCTTTTACCGGTTCTCACGGTCTCTTTGCTTGCAGATTTCTTATATATTTTTTCTTCTACCCTGAAGATGGAGGCGATACGTTCCTCCGAAACGTTGGTTAACACCACATATACACGGTGCCAAATCCCAGAAGACTGCTTTCTTCATGACCAAAGATGTCAGAATCTAGACATGTGATGTGACATGGACACGGAGATGCACACAGACTGTGTAAGTGGTAACCAACCAACCAGCAATGTCCTGCCCATCATACCCTCCTTCATTTGCTTGTCCGAATAATGTCTGATGGAGAGTATCCCTGTCACCCTTCCCCCTTCAGCCTAACAGAATTTAAACAAGCCTTACCATCACAAAGAGGACAGCACTCATCAGGGACATAGCGTGCATGATCACACCTTAACACGCACATGTGCGCCTGGCACTTCTTCATGCCTGTGATGCATGTGCAAGTCGTGCAGGGGTCCTCCTGCCACTCGCCACCATCCTGATACAGCTTTCCTGTGGATGACACACAACCACCAGACTGCAGTAGGGTGTTCTCAGCCACTGGATCGGCTTCTGAAAGCATATCCAAGGGAGTATATTGCCTGTGGTTAATTTACTGATGCTACCAGTAGCTAAGGTGTAGAGTGTCTTACATATGACAAGGTAATTAATGAATTACAAACTGGAAAACTTGCCGAAGGAAGTGTCCACCTGAGGTATTATCCCAGTATCAGCTTGGAGGAACTGAGGAAAACCCAGCACACACATTTCATGCCAAAACCCCTACATACGACTGTCTCCATGACTGCAACTGACAAGGTCACAGCTGACAAGGGGCCACCTATGTGCTGAGCTTCAAATATTTATTCATACCTAAAACGGAGGACAGTGAAGTCCTACGCATCAGTAATTGTGATTAGGGTAACAAAGTCACCTGTTTACAGTGTTTAAATGTGATATTTGCAATCCACAATGAAGAATGATCCCTCATTTGGAGCAGTCATTAATGCTTTGCAGTGTCAATACTGTTTCAGATGTTAAGGTAGAGAGTTGCCCTTCAAATGAAGTATTGCACTCACCAACACACACAGGGCAGCACTTGCCCTGTGGAACCCGAGTCACTCGGCAAGACGCTGGCAGCTCAGGACACTGCAGAGGCCTCTCAGCACAGAAGCTGAGCCCATTGTTACAGCTGCACTGTGTGCACTCATTCTTCCACCAAACTGAACCGTTCTTCCACATGACTCCATCCAGCATGCATGTGTCATTCAGCTCTGCAACCATTGCATAATACAACTTGCAACTTTCACCCTTTCTCTCTCTCTCTCTCCCGATCATCTCCCGGAAAACTTACGAGTAAAGATGTGTGAAAGTGTGTATCTGTATGCCTGTAAGTTGACTTATCCCAGCCTAACTGAACTAACCTCAGTCTAAACTAATGCTGCCAACATATCAATGTTTCAACTAACACTACCACCTTACCAAGACCACAACAGCCAGACGTTTATTGTCAAAACATGGTGATGTGCTCCACCCACAGGATCACAGGGAGCCCAAACACCCAGCACAGGACAAGATCCTGAACAAGTCTGAACCATCTGACAATCAGTCCATAGGCCCAGACTTCTCTGCAAATTCTATGAACCTCTGTGTTCAGCAGAGCAGAGATCCTCAGTCTGAAACCTGCTGAATTGGAACCTACCATACGGACAAGTTGTCGATTACTTACTTAACCCTCTCCACGCTGGTTTTCAATTAATAAATATCACATTACACACATGCATAATGAATATCTGTGGGGTCATAAGAGACAAGTGGATTTGGATGTCACGATACGTTTCTGCCGCCAAAATAATTCACAGCTGAGCTTTTAACTGGGATATTCATGTTCAACAACTGTACTGCAAAGCACAGCGCTACACACCGGAACAACTGTCAGAATGAGAGCCATAAAGAGATGGAAGAAGCACTAATATTTACACAAACTGTTTTAATGTAAAGGAGAGGTAAGGAGGGGGACAGGAAAGCTGTAGAAATAAAATGGCAGAAGGGGGATAAGGGATGAAGGCACGAAAGACACTACTTGCCCTTGGCTGACCCTCTCCATGTACGTACATGTATATAGTGCTGAAGTTTGATGGGCCTACACAACGTAACCCTGAAGACACAGTCTGCTTAATTTCTACTGCTTACCATGCTCCATGCACTTGTAAAGTGGACAGCAGGTGCCTGGCCTTTGGGTGCCCTGACGTACCACTATGGCATGCTCGCCATCAACACAGTCTGGCTCTGGGCATGGCCCTGGAAGACATTCACAGCCCTGCGGGTGGGAGCAGCAGTCCCCAGGGGCACGGTGATTCGGCAGACGGTAGCTATCAGAGGGGCAGTCGACCCCTTCCTCCGGACACCTGACATCACTGCAATTTTTATCTGAAACAAAATACCAACTACAAAGTCATGGGTTCTGTGCTATTTCATACTTTAAAGAATGGTGGTAACCGTGTTGCACCCGCATTAACATTACAAAACACTACATTCTGCCCACACACAATGGCCTTATGTCTTCTGTATGATTCTCACAATAAACGGTGACTGTTTCCTCAAACAGCACTAACCGGCTGAGCACTGTCTTGGAGACAGGGTCAATGCTTATTTTATTTAACTTGGTTACCTGGAATAACAACATGTAGTAAGTGGCACTGCCTCTTTTGGAATGGACTGACTACAGATACCTACCCCAATGTCATCCTCTGCTCCTACTTGTAACATACAACTACCGATGGTCAGGACAGGAAATTCGTTGTTCTGTTCTACTTTGTAAACTAGGAAAGTTTTGTGTGCATATGTTGTCATTAGTTTTGACAAGAATTCAGTGTCATTTTATACAGGGGTTTGATCCAATGGCACTTTCCTACGAACTGTTTATATAGACTCGAGTACAGAACTTACGGGGTTTCCTGTAGTTACACAAAACTCGTTTTTAATAATTTGAGGTTGGCCCTGTTAGCATGGTATGGTATGGTATGGTATGGCATTGCATTTTCCACTCCAACAATTTTGAAACTGTAACACGTTACCTTTGGGCAGCACGCACTCGTACACGTCACAGCAATCTCCGGGAAGCTTCGTGCCTGTCCGTCGCAGTTCACGGGTAGAGCCGAAGCGGCAAACGGGCTGTCTGCAGCGCGCAGGCGCGCACTCGCACGGGCTCCCGGCCACGCTCGGGTCGCTGGGAACGGAGTCTGGCGGGCATGCCGCCTCATCGGTAGTGAGGAGCTCGCCGCAAAGGGTAGCTGTGCCATTGCACTTCGCACCGGGATCTGTAAAACATTTTGCCACAGTCAGCTGGAAAGTTTTCGGAACACAAAAGGTTCATCACCGTAATCACAACATCCCGACAATGGGCTCTACTCCGAATCAAATCCAGTCCACACAGCGAAGGTTAACTCCCACCTATACTCCACTTACGGCTCAGACCAAATACGCACGTGTCCTATGCGTACTACAAGTATTTGTCCATCACATCTTCATTCAATCAATCGCCTAATAATAACGCGAAAGGCGATAAAGCTCCCTGATTATGTAATTAACTCCAGTTCTCAACGCTCACATCGGGCGCTTCCTCTAAATCACACCTCTTCCACTTTTCGTCAGACGGCACGACGCAATTTCACGTCACGAGCCCTGACGGGATATGCAATGTGGAAGTTTATATGCAGAGTGGCCAGCCGTAAATCTAATGTTACCTTTCGGTTTCTGCATACATCTTGTGGTTTCATGTTCATTCTCTGCCCGTACAAACCAACCGCTACTGGTCGAGGTTGGCACTTTCTAAGCGACTCAACTGAGTAGGCGTCTCCCCCTCACCTGAGGACGGAAACAGATCCAGTTTTCGAAACGTTGTTTTCTACTTTCTAGAATACCGGACGATGGTTAAAGTCCAAAGACCCAGTAATTCCAACCGTGTTTCTGCTCATAAAAAACATCCAACCCATGGAAATGTCCACCATCACCGTTCAATCGGAAATCACTTCCGACATTTTGCACACGCCTAAAACCTTGAGTTGAATGAATGTATAAGGGGGTGAGCCTTCTTGGCTTTGCACCGCGACCTACAGTGATCTATTGTGCTTCCCATTTTTATTATCCCCCTCAGCAATTCTGCGCTTCGAATGAAGCGTTGTCTTCTTGACACCTAAAACCTGGAGTTACTGTGGAACGGAATTCGTGAGGGAACTCACTTCGGGTTTAACACAAACAATGATCAGCATTGCTCAAGAGCCGTTTATTTCGCAATGTCACGGGTTTATACATGTATTCTGTACAACATTCAGTGCAATGAAACTTTTATACTTTAATTTGGTTATGCTTCAGAGCCGTTTATTTCGCAATGTCATGGGTTTATACATGTATTCTGTACAACATTCAGTGCAATGAAACTTCTATATTTTAATTTGGTTATGCTTCATATGCCAATATTTCTTTTAATAAACCCATGAAGTTCGATTGGAGGTTTACAAAATTACGGGCCTCCTCGGTTCCATCAGCATTTGGATACACGCAGAAAGCATGCGATTAACGAGAATCGAACCCAGAACTGCTTGGAATGAAACTGCTCTAGAATTACACCACCTTCACTGGGAGTGATGGTAAGGAAATTTCTCACGTGTCAGTTCAAGATATTATCTGCCTGAGGGCGCGGTTGAAACACGGCCCCTAAGGCGGGACTGTATTGCAAAGAAAGGCGTCTGTATCCACGACTGAAACTCACAAGCAGCGAATGACCCCAAAAGCCTCGTGATTTCCCATGAGCTTTCTACAAAAATTGCACTTGAAAGAGTTGTGGGGGGGGGGGGTCCCTCTCACTTCTCCGTTTCTCATTACGCCAGCCTGCAACAAAGAAACATCAACGCACAAAGAATTCATCTTCGTAGTCCCGAGCGGAACACAAGCCGAAAAACATTTAAGGGGGAGGGGGAAAGCCCCGTGCAGAAGAACAAAGACAACGGGGCCCCAATACTATTACTACCCTTGCCGTAACAACCACAGCTGGATATTTAAAACTGCAAATACTTGATAAAAATTAAGCTAAAAACGAAATAAAATCAACGTCTGCTGTAAATACAGATCGCACGCAGTCGTGCCGCCGTGCTGTGCCCCGTCGGGGCCTCCAACCGTTTCCAGGGGTCTGCATAAGAAAGAGACAACCTGACACTATTTCGCTTTAAACTTTTTTTTTCCTGCGTACTGAGCTGCAAACAGAACGAAACGGGACGGTGAAAGACATGAAGGTCACGCAAGACACCGAGCTCTCGAACCAAGAAAGGAGGAAACAGGAACGATTTCGCAGTTTCTACTGGGTCTGAGAGTCTCCAAATCGCTGTGCGCTTGGCGCTAGCTTCCACACCCTACAAGCAATTGCTGCTGCGGGCGTGGGATACCAGGGATGGAAGTGACATAATCGCCGCAGACAGTGGATTCTGTAGTGGAGATTCGAACAGTACATACTCGGAAGCAGCGCGAGCTAGGCGTTGCCAGCACGTACTCAACACTTTCGGGCCAAGTTGGGAGCTGTTTCAGATAAACTGATACACAGCGTGAACTGCACGGGAGTAAGACAAGAGCAAACAGAACCAGTGAGGGTAACTTTCATCGCGCCCGTGCGCTATAAATGAATGCAAATTCGGTTTCCAAGTCGCCAGTCGTTTTAATCCCAACTGGACGCCGCGTTATGCTGCTCTGCACTCCCACCGTGAGGCCAAACCTTGATCTGCATCTCAGCGCGACGCCTTTACGGATGAACTGCTGTGAACAGCTCGGGCCACGCGGAGTTCGATGCTAGGATGAAGAACAGAGGTCTTGGTCTGAGGTACTAGCCCCAGAATTCTTCTGGAGCGATCTAGTAAGACCACGGAAAGTCCTCAGGATATTTTGGGCCCGAGGGGGGGCTGTCCTCCTACCCACTGGCCCGCGGAGTCTGTCCTTCCATACTGTGTAACAGGTATCGCGTCTATTTCGGGCCGTGCTTGTCAACCGATGTTCCGCCAACCGCAGACGGCCCGTCTCTAGATGCCTATAACTACTTAGACTGAAAACAAGAAGTTATGGGAAGAACTAATCGGCTACTTTCCATTGATACGACAAGGGCCACATAGAGAACGACGCCGCCAACAATTTTACTGCTACGGGTGTATTCGTTGCCTAGCAACGATAGGAGGGAGACACACACGGACTGATGGGGGGATGTATGAAGTACGCAGCTGAGATGGGCTCATGAAGACAGGTGAAGGCACACAGCATGGTGATGGCATCAGCCTGGAACCACAGTCGCTACAATCTCAAAGTTGCGGGCAGGTATAATCTCGCTCGCTGCCATTACGGCTCTCTCGCATGACTTAAGCCAACACGTGGTATATAACGGCCTGGCTCGAATATGACGCGTCCATTTACCGTCGCAAACAAAACACGTTCGAACGCGTCGTTTCCTCAGGAAACCAAACGCCGACCGGAGGACAAGTGGGCGTTCGTCTTAAACACCGGAGAATGTACAAGACAGGGGAGAGCCTGCGGTTACTTGCACGCGACCGTCTTGTCACTGTATCCAGCCGCGCCTGTGTAAATCGGGGAGTGCCTGTTTGTGTGACATTTCGCAAAGTCGCGGCCCTTATCGGCAGAGGAGGCGCCTGACAACACTGATGGAGTCTGCTGCAGGGGCACAGAGACCGCGTCCAGGCTAACAGCGCACGTCACACATTGGCTGAATTCCTTTTGCTACGAATATCTCGGCACGCTCAAAACGCGATACATTTCAATTATACGCATTTTTAGTAAGGATGGAAACGGAATGTAGCACGCACGGGGAGAAAGCTGCATAGCAAGGACCTACATGGTATGAACTGGATTCATCTGGCTCAGGATAGGAACCAATGGAAGGCTCCTGTGAACACGGTAATGAATCTTCGGCTTCCATCAAATGTTGAGGAGAATTCTTGAGTGGCTAAGCGACTGGCGGCTTCTCAAGAAAGCTCCGTGTAGTCGGTTAGTTTTAGGAGAGATCCATGTGTTTGTCACTGATTAGAAATGTGCTGAATTATTTCGTGTGGCCAAGAGAAACGTTTCATTAATTGGCTTTCCTGTAGGAAAGCTATACTGAAACACGTGTGAAATGCATATTAATTCAGTGTGTAACTGAGTACAAAGAACGGCGTTTTGGCCCCTCGACCCCAAATGGGGTTACGGACTTTATGTGAAGATTCATATTCAGACACGAGTCCTTGCTTCGATACCACCGCTGGCTACGCAACATCGCCTGAAAGGCGAACTGTTTAATATGTAGGCATCCTCCCTGGCGCAAGAAGCCGAGTGTGCGGCCGGGAATGAAACGCCACAACAATCACGTCACACGCTACAATATACTTCAGCACATGTTACAAGATCGTAAAGCGGGACCAAAGACAGAATGAGGCGGCCGTCCATTTTGTGGATGAATAAGACGGCGCCGTGCGTCACAGCCGGTGCACAATGGCGGCCGCCAATTTCTCCGTCTCCAATATATACTTACAGCAGCACACCGCAAATTGCGCATAAATAAAAAAGGGGGGGGATCTAGGAAGATACTACGAAGGCGAAGCTTCTGTGATGGCGGACAATAAAAGTGGTACAGAACAACAATATAACTTTCTCGCTCCAAACAATGATCTTATAAAGAAAATGACGCCATGTGCTTAGAAACGGTTGTCATGTTACCACAGCAACTCCGCGCTATGAAAAATATAAGGCCCAATATACACACACACACACACACGCCGATGTTGGGGGGAGCATATTGTACGGACTTCCCTCGCAGCAAGTGTCGAGAGCCTGCCGGTAGGGGGTGGAGGAAGCGGGTGGGCGGGGGCGCATTTCTGTCGAACTTTACGGCCCATGCGGAAATGCTATCACGTGACTTCACACATATAAGTACCTGGTCTTCGCCAGGGATACGGTTCCTTGCCTCGTCAATATCACAACATATACATACAGTAAGGTAAGAGGTAAAGTCGTCCCCGGGCCGGTCACGGTAGCCGAGCGCTCGCTTGGAAACCGGGATCGTAGGTTCGAATACCACTCATGGCATGGATGTTTAGTTTGTGTGTTTGTGTGTGTGTGTGTGCGTTTTCTGTGTTTGTATACAGGTAGAGGCCTTGCGACGAGCTGATCACCCGCTCAAGGAGTCCTACCGAATATATGAGATCTAGAAAAACCGAAGTGAACGGAGAAGTTCATGGAGGTAGACCTAGGCTCACTGGGGCTGTAGTGCCAAGAAAAAAAAGTCGTCCTG